GCTTTTGTACAATTTTATAAATATCCAAAATTTAAGAACCTTGTACAGATCCCTGTGGTACACCTTCACCACAATATCCATATAAAGTACAAGTTATGTTCAATGCAAATGTTCAGTGACTTGTCAGTGGAGATCTGCAATTAACATTCACCTGTTCATTAATTGTAACATGATCACCCCTTAACCTAAACTAAGCAGATATTCTGTTAAACATGACAAAAGTTTCCCTGAACTCAACAGCCAAACCAAAACTAAACTTTCCACAACCTTACAAAAACATTGGATTGATGTTTCTGGCAGCAAACAAGTAAAAAGGTCAGTTGTGGTGAACTTGCTGCAACACTAGGATACTAAACTTCCAGCAAACAAAGAGCACCATTATTTTTAATTTGAAGTCATGTTTGTGCTCACTTGATAAATGCAAATCTAAAACATACACCCTTTTAACTCTGTTTTTGGTCTCTTCCAACTCCCGAGATTGGTGGTGGGCAGGTAAAGGGCTTACATACTAAAGTCAGCTGTATGCTACTGCTGGAATGAAGGTTGATGAGAAAAACAAGAGTTATGTTGCACATCAATAAATATTTCAGCTAAAAGATGCTAAAGAAATAATCATCAATTCATCACCATGTGCAGATTTATTATTTCACACAAATATTGATCAGTGCAGTTTAAAGAAGTCATTGTAACTCTGTGACACTTATTTGTAATTAATAAACAAAGTGATCAGGTCAGAATTTACTGAGGTCATTTTTAACCACAGTTAGAATTGATATATTTTGTTGTTTGATTTTATGGATCTTGTGGACTATAATAGTATTTATTCCTGTTCTGTTCAAGAGCTGTTTTACTAGACAGTGACAGACAGTTGTTGCATTAGGTTACCCCCTCTCTCCAAAAATTGTCTTAAACAGAATCAAATCATGTAAGACAGGTTCACGCACTATGCAGGGGAGGTGTAGACCATTTGGGAAACAAGACGTCCCAGAAACCCCATATCTCATAAAAAAATACTGTTACTGGGTATAACTGTTGCTGTGGCACTTGTCACATCTGGTCACATTGTGGGAAACATCAATGCACTGTCATGCATTGAGATTCGATGCAGGGTGAAAATTGCCACTTGCAAGGAATTTCAAAAACATTCATTCTAAACAGTTAAAATTATTCATTTTACCTCTATTTATTTCTCTGCTCAGTCATGAATGAAATGACAGCACTCTTGTGAGACCCAGCAGTGTGGAACAAACTGTGTGACCACTTAATCATTCCTGTTGCTAAGCTATAAACGCAGGGCGAGGTGCTACATGGTGCCTTTTGTCTCGAGACAACTGTCGAGAATGCAGCCAAGCATAAACTGAGCTTAACATCAACAAACATATTTATATATTGTTACAATCCAAATCTTGTATAAACTGAATACTCTAGATTAGACATAAAATTGGGTTTGTGTCAAATATCCCATTTGTCTGATCAAGATTAAGCAATGATCAAGTTCATGTTAAAAATAATTGACTGTTGGTTAATGTACCATGGTTCCCTGTACAAAAACCCTTAATGTATCCACCCAATTTCCTCAACCTCCTCCTTAGTAGGTTTTATAGCTAATATCCATTAAACAGCTGCTATAGACATGACTATATACAACACATGTTGTCATCTTTTTCTAGGGGAGAACAATCTACTTTAAAGTAAAGGTATCAAGAGAAAACAACAGGCATTGTAGTTGGATCATTTTTTGTTGAGGAACTCCTCACCATAGGCACATTGCATTTCTGCTTCACCACCTTCAACTGCTAACTGTCACCAGACCAGCCCTGATATGAATTATTATTCACATGAATGATTATTCATATCAAGGCTATGATGGTGAAACAGCGATTCAGAACCAAACATAAGGGCTGAGGTGTGAATGCAGCCATTGTGGCTTGTTGTGGTAAAGCTTTGTAGATTTTACATGGTTGTCAGCCTAAGTTCCTGTCCTAACTGGACAAGCCTCATTAAGCACCCTTTCCCCAGCTCCTCATTTAGTCTCTAATTAGGGGAGCCAATGGTTTTGTGGAATCTGGTCAACCTCCAAGTTGCTCCGAGCAAAGATGTTTTTTCCCTAAGGTGCTGCTGAAAAGCCATTAGGAACTTCCCGGACATGATAATGGCATGTTCACCTTTAAAGAGCCTGTGTTTCAAATGTGTGTGTGCATGTCTGTGTGTGTGCCAAGCCTGCCCGTGCTGACTGATTGCTGTGGATTTACTCCAAAGCATGGTGGGTGTCACACACAAAACGTTGCAAGCTCTGTCTGACTATGTCCCACAGTGTCTACAGTACCTCTCTATCTCGCCTTAATCCATCTTCTATCGTACCAATGACTGTGTCCTCATCACCCATCTATTCATCCCCCTTCTTTCAATGACTGCCTCTGTTCCCCCCACCCCCCTCACTGTCTCCTCTTCGTCCCTGTGATGTCACAAATTCAAGATATGAGGTTTTTGATAGCAAACAGCCACGGACACTACGGCCTTGTTTGGACCAGAGTGATCAGAGGATGAGAAGTTGGATGGAAGGGGAGTGAGCCGACGGCGCGGGTATTTTCCAAAGCAGCGGGAGGATGTAAGATGCAGAAACAAAGGAGGACATCTAGGTTAAAAAAAAACATGCATGAATGCCTCTGAAAGGGCCTGTGTTGTGTTGCTGGCTTGTCTCATCCCTGTGACTGCGAGCCAGCCGTGCCTGTCAGGGAACTACAGTTGGGTCTATTTCTGTTATCTGTTCTCTTTCTTGCAGATAAAAAAGCGGGATGCTAATATCAATACCTGGGGGGGAATAGGGCATCTCAGACCCTAAACCTGGCACTGAAGACGATAAGTCATGTACATCTGACTGCCATTACAGTTTCATGGCAGGTTGTACGTGGCAATGTTACAAGATTAGAGTTTCTTCTTTTAGAATTTTACATAAAAAAAGGGTTAGGGCAGCAACACTCTTATGTTTTCATGTGGTCATTGTAATGTGCAGGATGTTGATGTGGGACTAATCATGTGCAGAGCCTACTCAGAAATTAGTAACACGGGCTGCATTGACATGGGTCAAAGGTAATCTGGGGGCTGTGTCATACTTAAAAAGGACTCACTGATGAAGATGGAGTTGTGTATTGCTATATTCTATCAATGTGGCAAAAAAGCTTTGAATATAATTTGATGTCTAAATGCCAAATATAACCTGACATCTAAACCATGCAACACTAAAAATTTAAAGTGGCTAACCTTAAAGATGTTGATTAATATTGGTTCCAGTAGGCATGATAAAAAACATATTCCCAGGTTTAATTATTTTATTTTTTTTATTAATTACTGATACTGATTACTGAGACTGTCAGATGTGAAGAGTTTAACCGAATATCACCTTTTGAGATGTAAAGTGTGTGTGATTCCTGTGTTTGTAGGTGTAAGTGTAAGTGTGTTGGAGAGCAACAGGGGGAGTGGTTAGAATCAGATGGGACATCCTGATAATAAAGAAGTACAATAATCCATTCTAGAGGTTCTCAGCATAATTCTGAGACAGGATGTTTCTAATTTTCCTGATATTGCACAGGTGGAAGAAAGCTGTCCTTGAGACTTGTTTTATGTGTGGGTCCAATGACATGTCCTGGTCAATCATAACTCCAAGGATTGTTACAGTAGAGCTGTGGACCAAGCTGATGCCATCCAAGGTAGTCACCTTGTCAGACAATGTTTCTCTGAGGTGTTTAGGGCCAAGAACAAAGGACTCCATTCACTAATATCTGCTTGAGAATTTTCTTAAATTTGTCCTTAAGAAGTTTCTGAACAAAACTCCAAGTCAGATTCATGACAGGTTCATAAACTGGAGAATTGTTATTGAAATGAATTCTTATATTGATGAATGCCATATGTGCTTAAGTTGAAAGTGTGTGTCAGTTTTTCCCAGTAATTATAGGTTAACGTCCTGCCATTGCTCATATGGTATGAGACTCCAGTGCCATGTGCACAACTTACAGTCTATGAAGCATACACAGAAATCCCAGAAATTGAAAAGAACATCAAAGGAGCCAGGAATGATTGAACAAAAAATAAAATAATTAAACCTGGGAATGCTCTTGAGTGTGTAGATTTGGTTCTTACATAATAACAAATCCCAGATAAGAAAATATTGGTGAATGTCAGAAAAAAATGTGTAATTGGGTTTTAAGAAGTTCAAGTAAATGATTCGATTCATCAGGCTTCATAGATTTGTACAGCTGGGTGTCATCTGCATAACAATGGAAGTGTATGTGGTGCTTTCTGACGATGTTACCTTAAAGAAGCATGTAAAAAGAGAAAAGTATAGGTCCAAGTAAAGCAACTTGTGGAACTCCATGACTAACTTTTTTGTGCATGAAGGAGTCATTGTTAACATTAACAAATATATCTTAAAAACCAGCCTAATGCCATTCCTTTAGTCCCTACATGTTGTTTCAGTCTCTGTTACAAAATCTCATGGTCTATGTCACAAAGGAGGCCATGAAAAGATCATCAGTAATTTTTAACAGTGCTGTTTCTGTGTTTTGATGGATCTGAATCCTGACTAAAAGTCTACCAGTAAACGTATTACTGTCTCCCCAGTATTATTTACACACTTTCCTCCTCATATTACTCCTGTTGAGTGTCTACTGATGTCTTGTTTTGTACTTTTTCTTGATCCATAATAAATAAAACAAATAGGGCCGGAGCACTGACATTAACACAGATGTACATAATAAGCTATACATTTTATTCAATGTCTTTGGTATGTTTGTATGTACTTTATGTATGTATTTATATTGGGGACATTGTTGGACACTTGTTCATATTGGGGACATTGTTGGACACTTGTTTTGTCCAAAGTCTCTTTTAAAAACAATGTGTCCTTTAATGCAAAGCCACTGTAATTACTTTGATGTCTAGGCAATGATGATGCACTAATGCACATTGATGTTGGTTGCCACCCGGCAATAAGCTTAGTAAAATGATAATAATAAGCTTTGAGGTGTAAGTCAGATACTGAACATCATGCCCAGGCAAGCAAAGAGAGGTGGAAAAGGTGAAGGCGGTGGAGAAGAGACAGAGAAGAAGACCAAGAAGAAAGAGGAGAAACGCACTCTCCTGGAGGACAAGTTACAGACGGAGAAGAAAACCCCATCAGTGAACCCCCTGAAGCTCAACCAGCTTCATAGAGACATCGACATCATCCAGCAGACGTTTGAGAGGGAGCTGGTCGACAGGGACAATGTCATCAAAGGTCTGAGGCATGACCTCAAGGGGACTGAGCATCAGTCGGCCCAAGTTCAGTGGGTTCACCTGCAGAATGTCAAGCGTCTGGGGGATCTGCAGGAAAAACGGCTGATGCTTCTACAGCAGCTGTGGGAGGACAGACTGCAGTGCCAGAGCTCCAGTTTCAAATCTGAGAGGAAGCAGATGCTGGCACACTCTCGGCAGCAGAGAGCTGATCTGGAAGATGCAGAGCTCACCTTGGAGCAGCAATATGAACAAGTGATGAATGAAATCCACAGACTGTACAGCGAAAGCATAGCATCGTACCAGAGCAATCACGAAGACCGGAAGACTGCTCTGGTCCTGGAGGGTGTGATGGTGATGAATACGAAGATTCAACAGGAGCAGGACATTCTGGAGCTCCACCACAAAGAAGAAAAAGAACTTGACAACCTGGTCCTGAAAACCCAGCAATACATTCGGACGACTGACAAATCCATGAGGAGGGTCAAAAAGTTGCAGGACTCCATGGTTCAGCTTAGGATAAAGCTGAAGTCCACTAAGTCCGAAACGGAGTCGATGGAACGAAATCTGCCAGCTGCCAGGAACGAGGCGAAGAAAATTACTCACAAGCTTCGCGATCAGCTGACCGAGAGTCAAATGGTGGCGAGGAAACAGCTCACTGTCCTCACTGTGCAGAGCAGCGACGCCATCAAGAAACTTCAGGCGGTCATTGCCAAGGGTAAGAGGGTTTCACGTGTTGCTGAATTGTGTCTGAAGCATGAGAGCAAGCAGCAGAACGTCTTGTCAGTGTCATCAGATGCAGATGGTCAAAGAGAAGTGATGGAGGAAGAAGAAGCTAAGGAGTCGTGTAAATTTGCAGAGTTGTGGCATGTGATGCGGCACAGCAATGCCACTCTGCTGCACAGAGAGGCTCTGAAGATACAGAATAAGGACCTGAGAAAAGAAAACCAGCAGCTGAGGCTTCTGCTGCATCCGCACATGAGCCCCATGATGGGCAGTGACCACACCCTCAGAGGACTCCATACTCTGCTCACAGTGCCAAAAGCCCCAATCTCAATGGCCCCATCCGACACCCACAGACGCCAGAGTGAGATCGGGGCTGTTCACGTCGTCAAACAGACATTTTAACTGTCAGTAAAGATCTGATATGGTTATACACCTGTTCAATTAATAACAATAAAAAACAATGAATACAATTTAAAAAGAGATTCACACTGTTTAATGAACACAAACATTAGGTCGCTGCCTTTTTAGCTGCAGTCAAGATGCCAACACTATGAATCCACATCGATCGTTTTTTGCAGAAGCTAATGAAAATTTCACCTGTCTTACCCAAGATATGGGGTTGTGTGTTTTTATAGCGCCCCCACTAGTTTGAGCAGGGAACTTTAAAATCCCTGGTTGGACAAAATTGTTAGACAGTGGATAACCACACCAAAAATAAACATAGAATTTAAAACTTTCCCCTATAAGTCCAACTTTAAACAGCCGGAAATCCACTAAAAAGTGTTTTGAAAGTTAAAAACAAACAGCAGTCTGCCATGTCTGCATCCTTTTCGTCATGGTGTGCGCGCACATGCGGGATGCCACAGATTGGACATTACTGAGTCTCACTGCAGCACAAGGAGAGCTGTGGGAGGCTCCTTGTGCCAGAAGGAGACGGGGAACGACAAACCCATTTTGTGGCGGAGTGTTGGCCATCAGTGAGTGATGCCAGGATGACTGAGAGTGCGCCACAGTAATGGGCTCAGAGCGCTCATCTGCCTTTTCCTCTGCCAAGGAATCAGCGGTCTGCTTTCTCCCTCAAGTGTCGCTGGGCATGATTTCACCAAGACGATACTGGAGCACAATCCTAGTGCCTTTGAAAAGAGCATGCTGGGTTTCTTTTGAGATGAAGTATGGAGCTTTAGAGTTAATGTGTGACATCAAAGAGGGACAGTAAAAGGCGCACAATGATATCCTGTTATCTTTGTCTTTCTTCACAATTTAAAACCGCTATCACACTCTCTTAAAAACATCACATACAACAACACGAATGTGTATCTTGGATGCAGTCCCCAGGAAAACAAAGTCTTACCAGAAATGTGCATTTAAATGCCAAAGCTAGTGGCGAGTTGCCTGTCAGCCTCTATTTTCTAAAAATGAAATCCCTTATGAAGACTGAAAACAACTTTACATTCAGACAGCTTTAGAGATGCTGTTATGACAGGGATTAAAAAGTCAAATATAAGCTATATAACAAATCTGCTGGGCGTGTTTTTTTCAATTTGTGCCGATTCAAGGAGTTGCAGTCGTTCTCCAAACGTCTCAAATCATGTTCTTTTTCGTATTAAAGCTTTGCGAATGAGCAGAGCGTTAAATTACATGATTACTGGCTGGACCCGGGCGGCTCTGTACCCCCCAGAGAACCGGCTCTCCCTCCATGCTCAGTGGCTGACTCAGTGGTCCACACGGTGACTGTCCACCAGCGGTGCGCCTCCCGGAGCGCACATCAGCTGGGTGTGAGACACTTGGAAATGATACCCCCCGTTATACCCCTGACTAAGATCCAAGCAATTCATCAGAGGGACGATAAAGGAACGAATAAATCTATATAGTTTACTGACCTGGTGTCACCCCCTTCTTTGCCAATTGTGCCACAAACCACCCAAAAACCGTCACAATCCACAGACCTCTCGCCAAAACAAGACGCAGAGGAAACACAAGAAGAACAGTGTGGATAACATGTGTGAACTTGAGGGTGAGTGTGAGGAAAAGCTAAATATGAATGGAAATAATTATTTTACAAAAGGAGAATTACCTTGAGTGAGTCCCTTTGATGCATTCTGTGGTCACAACTCGGTGCGTTCACGGCTTATTCACCAATTCCAAAAGCCCGAGAATAAGGACTATAATAAGTCCACGAAGCGTATTATTATAGAGAGAAACTTCGACTGACACTGGGCAAAATAAACGTGTTAAAGAAGAGGTGGAAACTCAGAGAGGAGTTCTGAATGTCCGTTAGTTCCGTTAGTGCTCCCAGTGCGCGAAATAGCTTCAGAAAATCCCGAATGTGTTGTGAGTCTTGTTTTTTGAGGCTACATTGTTCCAAAATTAAACCTTCTCGACTCCCCTTTCATTTGTCAAGTAAAGAAAAAAAACAAATAGTTGCTGTGTTTATTATTCCAGAGATGTTGAGGTATGTCTGAAAAAAAAGTTATCCTCCGAATCTAAGGTCCTCCGCGCTCCCGGGTCACTGTCCTGCAGGTGGAGGTTTCAGGGAGAGACGGATCACGGAGGGTTGGCGCTGCGCTCTGGAACAAACGTCTCCAGCTCGCGGCTCCGGTGCGTCCTCCTCTGTCTGTGTGTCCGCGCGCAGCAACAGCCGGATTCCTTATTTGGAAGCCCGGGGCTCGTGCCACTGTCAAGAGAGTCAAATTACGCCAAAATGACTTCCAGCCACGTCCTTCAAAATAAAAAGCCCAATTGGGGGAAGCGTTGCAACAATTACATCAATGATCGTCTTATTTATTTGTTTTTTATTATAGCACCACTGTACAGGGATTGCTTCTAAATAAACACTGCATTCACAGTTAATATAATTAAATAATACAAATGAATGCAGTTTTTTTTAATATTACCTGTGTATCTATACATAGTTTCACACACACATGCACACACATATTAAAACTGAATAACAAAGATTCAAACATTTATTCATATATTTATTTATGATAGAAAATATTAATAGTCATATTGTAGTAGACTTACACATCTGTTAAAAATATGTGAACATTTTACTGAGGTCGTACTATGAGCGTTCTGTGTGGAAACAAGTTAAAAAATGTCATCTTAATGTAACCCTAACCACCCCCTAACCCCCCATTTGCCTTTTATATTTGTCAATGTAATGACATTCTTTGGCACAGCATTTGTTTCTGTGTTATATAATAATGCTACTTACAAATCATTTATAATGAAAAAAAAAAAGAATAAAAGTGAATTCCCCATGGGAATGCTTTTATTTTGAAGGCAAAATCGTCTAATTTCCTTTCAGAGTCCGCCTTTGTGTTCAAAGCTGAGGGGTTTCCTCTCAATAGAAAATTCACCCATCAGCCCCCTCTTCTGGAGTCAAACCTGAGTCAAACAGTGTCAACTGGAGGTTGTGTCGGTTGTGTCTTAGGGAATTCATTTGCAACACTGAGGCAAAGTGTTAGGAATACAGATCTGCAACACAGAACAACTTTTAAAAATGCTTTCAGGAAATGGAGCTAATTCAGTGTCATATCAGTTTTATTGAGAGATCATCTGCCTATTACAAAAAACTAAGCAAAAGAGTCATGACACATTATCTTACATATGTTTAGACTAAAGTCCTTAGTTCTGATTGTGTGTGTTTGTGTGTGGGGGGGAGCATACATGCACATGGACTTGTGATGGCACAGTTTAGGGAATCAAAGACGGGGAGTCGAGATCAATTCGGACAGAAATCTCAGTGGTGTCCAGTGTGTGGCAATCACAGGGGTGCAGGTCTGCATCATTTCTAAAGAGTTTTGCTTTGGCTTGTCATCGCATGGGACACATTGGTGTATTCGACAACATTAAAAATGGCTGCATTCTATTTCGGTTTGCTAATTCCAGGGTGCTGATGCTGTACCACTGTGCCTCACCATCATAGAGCACTGGTGCACATGAAGTGGACTGTTTTTGAAACAAACATATATGGTTTTGTGCAGGTAAATATCTCTAATGGGAAGTCAGGAGAAAACACAAAATACAATTTCAACATTAGATATATCACAAAATTCTACACACTGTACCTTTAGGTAAAATAGCTCTTAGATTTTACTTTAAAGTGAGTCTTGAACTTCAAAGGAATATTCCATTCAATTGAATGTGTCTGAAATAGAGGAGCAGATGACATGTGTCCTCTGGTTACAAACATTTTGTGTATACAAATATAATAATTAGGGGTTGTCCATGCTGTAACTATAACTATAGTTACTATGTAAACTATATTACAAAGTAAAGCAGATAGATAAATCAGATTATAAAACAGAGTGGTGACACAGTTTGATGTAAAAAGATGATGAACCCTCTTTATTATACCAATACATTTATTCAAACAAATCACAAACTGGCACTAAGAACATTCTTTAGGCACAACTACAGCATTCATGCACCTTGTTGGATTTAAACACAGTCTACCACTAAAAGTCCCACCAGACACCAATGATTCACTGTTGTTTCAATGAAGCATTAGCTTGTCCTGCTATGCTGCTGTGACCTGAATGTTGTTGTGTAGCCAGATGTTACAATTCTAGCTCCTGTAAATGTTGTACCGACTCTCAAAACAGCCATTATCAAAATATAAAAGTAGAAGTATGAAGAATGAATTATATTAACAATTGAGTAAAACTTAAAAATCACTCAACATTAATCAAAAAGTTCTAAAAGAGTCGCTTCATTCATTTTTTTAACACTTGGAGGATATTATATATTAAAAGTTAATTTTGCCATACATTAAAAGTCATGTTTCTCTGCTACAACTTTACTGACCTTGGTATGAGTTGAATCTGACTTACGAATCTCCTTCAGTCTTCATCAGGAGATCGAATACAGGTTGATCAAGGAATATTCATTAATTTACAAAATTAAATGAGCTGGATTACATCTTGGATGAATTGACAGTATCTGAAGGTGTTAGTGTGTTTAACATAGGCACGATCCTCTGGGCCTCACATGCAGATGTTGTTCTAATTGAGTAAACTTAGGTATATCTATACATATGGTATATTATTTCCTGTTTTTGAGTCAGATGGATAGGGTTTACTGCATGAGACCTCTCCTACACGTGTATGCATGTGTATCTATATATAATACACAAATCTCTTTGAACACCAGTACCCCAGTCTCTCACCAGCACAGTGGTATTTAAACCTGCCCATATCCCTTCACCCGCGTTAAGGTTGTCTTGCAGAGTCCTTTCAAAAAACAAGATAGGATGCTAATGCATGTAAGACGTAACAGGTCATGCTATCTTCAACAGGAGTTGATGAATGCCACTCAGCATAAAGATAGCAATTTAGCATAACTAGAACACCAATAATACCATGTAAGGCTTTTCTACCCCATATGTCAGGAAGCACTCATCCATGAAAATGACGGTTGCCAGCTGACTAGAGGTGACATGAGCCGGGGGTTTAGACATGACATCAATAACATGGAGAAAATTGTGAGTTGTTATTAATATTATTATGTAGAACTGCCTAAAACGAATGAAATACATAATCAACTAGTGATTTTAAATAACATCAGAACAATGTCATATGTATCCTCGTAATTCAAAACATTGGTGAATGCGTCACATTATCTTAAATCAATTGTACACACCACTTTTGATAAGAGTAGTTCTTGCGTGAGGCCCATTATGATCATGTTACCTTGATGATGTTAGCATTTGGCCTCAGTGCATCACCATGCCTGAGTTCCTTCCCACAGAGCCTGTAGCATGGCCACAATGTCTCCATCTTGTCAATGTAAAGCAGCAAATGGCTGATTTCTCACAGTGAACAGATGCCATCCTCATGGACAAATAGCAGAAATTTTCAGTCTGCATCTGTCTCACGCTCTCTTTCCTCAAACTACTCATGATATATAAAGGACACACACAAACACACACAAACACACACACGAGCACACTTTAACTTTGCCACTGGGCATGCCACACAGCTGGGAAACCCTTCAGATGTGAAGATCTCAGAGACTTCTAGAGGTGAGAGCACAAACAAATGTGTCTGCCATTGACTCCACTTCAATCAAAACTTGTAATATACATAAGGACATATACACACACACAGACACACATAAAGCAATTAATCTCAAGAACACTTGGCAAAAGGTGTTGCCAGGGTGTGAATGAGCAAGGTGCTTCACATATTAATATTTTGTGTTGGATAACGGAAGCACTGACATCTCTAAGTCTTTTCTTTGTTTTTTTGATTTCTGATTATGTTTGCTAAACGTATCAATACAAGTATTTTAGAGAATTTTCTCTTTCAGCTGCAGAGTACACCTCTGTATTTCCTGAAACGCCTGCCAGCTTCTAGTCTTTTTGGCTGCAACCATAAAGCAATCAAATTCTTGCCACAATCAAAGTCTCATGCAGCCTCGTCATGAATTGCTTTTACAGGAGGCTGAGGGTGCATTTTCTGAAGCCTTTTGTGTTGGAATTATGTTCAGCTTGAGTCCAGGAGCACACGGAGAGCATGGGGATGAGTGTGAGGGGAAAGCAGCTGTGTTAGCAGCTGAACTAATAAAAGAGCATTTAAAAAGAAACACGCCGTCTCCTAATGCCTCACACTGACACGGAGGAATTAACGATCGCTACGTTTCCAGGAATTCATTAATGCTTGGCATGAATGAATATGGCCATTCAGCATAATTTAAAATAGTACAAAAGCCTGGATTTAAATGTTTCCCATCCTTCTATTTTTGCAGAGAATAGGAAGCTGTAATTTTGGGCACATTGGCTTTAATTGCCAACATGCCTCATGTTGTGACTCGCTTTTATGACCTCATTGTGGGGATGCAGTGATGTTTTTGTGCCACTTTGATTTGTATTGTGATGTCAAATCCCTGTGAACAAGACCAGATTACCACCCAGGCACCACAGGGGTCCTAAAAGCCCTAGATTTGCTACATGACACAAGATTATTGAGCAGTTTGGACTACTAAAGTGCAGTGTCACTTAAGATAAAGCATAAAATATGATGTGCGTTTGGGGGGAGGGGATTTTTTACCCTTATATTTGTCTAGCCATGTCTAGGAGGGAATTGTGGCACAACTTCACCTGCTTCCAAGGTTCATATAGAAAGGAGAAAAGATCCTGAAGTGAGAAAAATCCAAAAAACAAAAACACATTTCAAATTGTGGCTTCATCAAGATCATTATAAAGCAAATTACAGTAAATTTAAATAAGATAAGATTATAAATATAATAAGACTTCTTGTATAATTTCAATTGAGACCCTGAAATTAGTGGGTCACCCTTACCCAAACCCAGATGATTCCTTATACTGTAGATCACGGTGGCTCACTGAGCTGTTGGAGATCACAGTCACTAATTCTGTGACCTATGG